TGACAATCGGCCTGCCGACGCCGCCACCATTGTTGAGAGAGGAAAGAAAAGGGAGAATAGATCATTTGCCCCATTATCTCCGGCAGCGGTCGCCTCCTCGACGGCGACGGCAGTGAAGGCAGAGAGAGACGAGAGAGAGTGAAGAAAATTGGAGATATGTTTAGGGTTTTTAATTGGGGATAGATTAATTATATAGAAAACTTGATTTTTGCACAGATAATCTTCAACCCTGGATTTAGAATTTGGAAGTTTAAACACCTGTAGGGGTGTAATTTTCCCCCTTTCAAATGTACACTCTCAACAACATTGGGCTGGCACGAGATAATTGGACTGCAAGTTAATGACCTAATCAAGACCCGGTCAAAATTCGAGTAATTTGGTAATTTTTGGTAAATCGTCCAGTTGACCCATTTTGATCAAGTTTCAAAACTAGTAACGTGTTTGACACTCATTTTATTGGAAAAATAAATTTTAAAATAGTAGATTGATAGAGGATGTGTAAATTAAAAATTTTTTTTTTTTAAAAATTTATGTATAATATTATTTTAATGAAGAATATGCAGTTAAAAAGTAAAGAGAGAAAAATGCATTTTGTTAAAAAAAAATCAAATGGGACCTAAATATACAATCTGAGAAGAGAATGAAAACTGCGACACGTGTTGGTTGTAAGGCTAGTAAGCTAACCATTTGAACAACTGATGAAGCGGCGTTGTAATTTTATAATATTTAATGAGAACTCTCTTTGATCAATAAAAATTATAAAAAAAATGTCATAATTTCATATTTTAATGAAAAATGTTCGAAATGACGTCAAAAATTGAAGTTGTGCTTTTTACATGTTCAAATTACTCGGGGCCACCAATATCATATGGAGGTAGTGACACTATCATGCAACCGAGATTTAAATTATTTAATTCAAAACCTGTGCATAGCTTAGCTTCTATGTAAAAAAATAAAAAATAAAATTAGAATATTAATAAAGGCGATTTTCAAAAATTAAGGGGATGTTCTTTTCGTGTTTTAATTTTTAGTTTTGAATTCATTTTGAATTTTACATTTTGAGTGTCCATTTTGAGATTATTGAAAACACCTTATTTTTATCATTTTAAAAATTGTTAAAAAAAAATGAAAAACACATTTACTTTCTAATTTTGAAAAACTGATTATCCAATATATATAATTCTTTGCTTGTAAGAAAAAGAAAAGGAACTGCCATTGTGGTTCAGGCATTGGATTCCAGGCTAGTAACTTAGGTTTTAATCCTAACTACCACCAGTTTATTTGAAAAATTTTGTATTGTGCATATGAAAAGACAATTCCTTTATATTGAATTGCGATGAAATGGAAACGAACTCATGTTGTTCAGAAAATTTGTGACTCAACCAATTAAGCTATCCGTTATTGGCAAAACTGGTCGTTTTCCTCGTTTTTGAAGTTTTGGCTTGATTTAGCTGAAAATAGCCAAAATAAGTTTTTTCCATTTTCTTTGTAAATTTTAAATTCATTTTTGAAAATTCGTACTTGCCTATTTTCAGTGTTTTCGAAAATTAAAAACTGAAAATGGTTTCAAAACAACAAAGAGAACAATCCCTAAAGTGTTAAAAAATGTGAAGAATGGGTTAATTTTGGTCTAGGCGTGCTAGGAATGATTTTTTTTTTTGTTAAAAATATATAAATAGAAGAAGATACTAAGGGGTGTTTGATTCTCATTTTTCACAAAATATTTTTCTTTCTTTTTTTAACCATATATTTTTCATTAAAATAATATTACACGCAAATAAAAAAATTATCCTTCTTTTTTAAACACACATTTTTATTAATCTACTATTTCAAAATACATTATTTAAAAAAAAAAAGTGGGTCAAACACACCCTAAATAAAACGACATAGAAGATTTTAAGGATAAAATTTGCATTAGATTCAAGTAATCAAATTTACAAGAGAATGAGGAAAATCAACATTGTTCCTCATTAGATGAAGAGGAACGACAAGGTTGCTCCACTCTTGCAGCTATTATGAAAGTGTACGGCTTTGAGGAGAAAAATAACTAAGAGAGTCAAAATTTTCTCATTTGCAGTAGATCAAATTTTATTTTATCATATCATATCATATCATACTTATCAAAAAGAGAAACTCCAAAGAGTTCCGAGTCCAAGTTTGAGTTCCACTATTTAACATTTTTTTTTCAAACTCATTTCAACTACATCATTTCAATAAATTTTTTTACATGTAAATTCAAATACTTCTATAATTTTTAACTACACATTTTTCATAAAACCATTAACACAAAATATTTTTTCACAAAAATGGGGCTCAAATGGAGGAAAAATGAGTTGTTAGAGCAATAATACCAATAACAATTAATACTATGATAGATGTATTTGAAAGAACTGAAAATCGAGATCCAAATCTATTCCCGAAGAGTTAAAAAGGAAATATCAAGATTCAAAATGGATTCAAAGAATCCAAGGTGGGGATTATGTTTCTTGTTCTCGTCCCATTTACCATTTTGGAAATGAGGGTGTGTATGAACAACATTCTTAAAAAAAAATTATTTTGAAATAGTAGATTGATGTACTATGATAGATGTATTTGAAAGAACTGAAAATCGAGATCCAAATCTATTCCCGAAGAGTTAAAAAGGAAATATCAAGATTCAGAATGGATTCAAAGAATCCAAGGTGGGGATTATGTTTCTTGTTCTCGTCCCATTTACCATTTTGGAAATGAGGGTGTGTATGAACAACATTCTTAAAAAAGAATTATTTTGAAATAGTAGATTGATATAGAATTTATATTTAAAAATAAGGAAAATTTTTTAATTTGCATATAATATAATTTTAATAAAGAATATGTAGTTAAAAAGAATAGAAAGAAAAATATATTTTAGAAAAATAGAAATCGAACACCCTCGAGTAAGGACGAGGGGTAGATGATGGGAAATTTTATCATCCCTCAAGTGGAGTAGAATTTGCATTTCATCTTTTTACTTTTTTGGACAGAATTTGCATTTTATTTGTTTTGATCGATAGTCTACAAAATATTGTCCCTACACAAATTGAAGGATAAATGGACATTGAATATCAAAATGGGCTTAGATGTAACAATAAGTTCAAATGCTATGAGTTATTATTATTAATCCAAAGTTGAGGGTGGAAAGGTAAAAATGTGGGAAAATAGCACCTATAAAATAAATAAAATAAACCCCTCTTCTTCATCTCTTCTTTTGCAGCAAGTAAACCCAAATGCCCTTTTGAAGAAACGCATAAAAGGAGACGATTCTGTGATCCAATCTCTCGACGTTTGTGAGTTTCTTTAATTAAACCCGGTTAATCATGGTGCTCGAGGTATTTCCTCTTTTTTTATCCTATCTTTTTTCATTTCCTAATATTAGGGTTTTATTTATGTTCAGCGATTAACTATTATGCTTAAATTTTATTTTTGAAAAAAAATCAGGCGACAATGATCTGCATCGATAATTCTGAGTGGATGAGGAACGGCGATTACTCCCCGAATCGATTTCAGGCTCAAGCTGACGCTGTTAGTCTCATCTGTGGCGCAAAAACCCAGGTATGTACTTTTCTTTTTTCACGCCTTTTCCCTACTTAGGGTTTCTTAATTGTTGTTGCGTATAATTTTAGTTCATGTTAACTTTGAGTATTCTTATCAACCATTGCTTAGGGTTTCTTTTAATTACTTATTTTTATTAATCTGTAGTCAAATCCAGAGAATACAGTGGGGGTATTAACAATGGCAGGAAAAGGGGTTCGCGTATTGGTAACACCGACCAGCGATCTTGGAAAGATCCTAGGTTGCATGCACGGTCAGCTTCTTCTTTATGCTATTTTGGTTAGATGTTATTTTTGTTCTGTTGAAAGCAAGTGATAAACCGCAAATAGTTATTTCCTAGTAAATGGGAAAATGAGGAAACTCAGTTAACCTTTTTATCTAATTATTTGTCTGTAATACATTATTTTAGTTATTTCGTTAATGTTGTATGTGAACTAAAGTTTCCTTCTTTATCAATACAGGTCTAGAAATAGGTGGTGAGATGAACTTGGCTGCAGGGATCCAGGTGGCCCAGCTGGCTCTCAAGCATCGCCAAAACAAAAAGCAACAACAAAGGATTATCGTATTTGCTGGGGGGTAATCTTTCCTGCTATTTACTAATTCCATTATGCTCAGTTTTTATTCTTTGGTTACTAATTGTTAGAACTTGTGATTTTAGTCCTGTGAAATATGACAAGAAGGTGTTGGAGATGATTGGAAGGAAATTGAAAAAGAACAGTGTTGCACTTGATGTTGTTAATTTTGGCGAGGAAGATGAGGGCAAGACTGAGAAGCTTGAGGCTCTGGTTGCTGCTGTGAATAATAATGAAAGCAGTCATGTTGTGCATGTTCCTCCTGGTCCAAGTGCTCTTTCTGATGTGCTCATCAGGTGGTTTTCCAAATTGCAGTATCTGTTAATATCAACTGACTAGAGAATTCTATGATTATAGACCCATGACATGTACCGTCTTTTTTTACGATGCCAATTGACCCTAGCTTAAGTGCGGAATGAATAAATTTGCTTTCAACAATCAAAGTTGCAGATTTTTTGGAAAAAAAATAAAAAATCAAACAACACCTGGGATAGGGGCTGGAAATTGCAGCACTTCCTAAAAGTTCTATAATGGAACTGTGGAAAATTTGTTATTTAAAGTAGACTTGATTATCCGTTCACTCAACATATATTGATAAGGACCTAAAGCCCTGAGATTCTGAACTAGGCATGTGCTTCGAAGGAATAATTATTTTGATGTAAATAAACCAGGAAATAGGATGGCATAAAATCCTGAAACAATGAATAAAGTGAATAGCTAAACTTCTTAGATTGATTTTCTGTCACTTCCCACTGTAGCGCCTGACCAGTTTTTTTCCCCCATATTAATTATTTCTTTCTTTCTTTCTTTCTTTCTTTTTTGGTTGGCAGTACACCTATCTTTACTGGTGATGGAGAGGGGGGAAGTGGTTTTGCAGCTGCTGCAGCAGCGGCCAGTGGAGTATCTGGTTTTGAATTTGGCGTTGATCCAAACCTAGATCCTGAACTTGCTCTCGCACTTAGAGTTTCAATGGAAGAGGAGAGGGCAAGGCAAGAAGCAGCTGCAAAGAAGGCTGCAGAAGAAGCTGCAAAGCAGGAAAGTGGAGAACATTCTGCGTCACAGGATGCTACCATATCTGAAAATGTGAACACTGCAACTACTGAGCCTGAAAACAAGACAAAAGACCTAATGGTCAGAGTCTCTTTGCACTGAATTCTTTTTATTTTTGGTGTATTTGGTAAATATTCCTGGATCGTACAAGGACATTCTTTGAGTTGGCATAAGCGTAAAGACCAGTTTACGCCTTTTGGGACATGTGAAGTGGCATAATCTACTTAGAAGTTACATAATTTATTCACTAACACATCTATATAGACCGACAAACCTGAACTATTTAAGACAATTGCCATCATGCAAATCATGCATGTAAAATGAGGAGAATTTAACATGCGTTAGTTTTTTGCTTATATGTGCTAGAACTTCTTTTGATTTTGAATAAACAATTTCCTTCCATGCCACGCTTTTTACATTCATGAGATTTTTTTTCCCGTTTAAATAAGTCTGTATAAATAAAGGAGCTATTTTTACTTGTCTTATGAAGCATCCAAGTGGGATTCACATTCAACATGACATCTGCTCCCAAATTGTCTTCTGTTTAGGTTGTCTATGCAATAAAAATTTAACAATGATTTTTCGATTGTGGCAATGGTGCTGCAATGTCTCTGATGCCCTAAATGCTTACCAATGGCTACTTATGAGTTACATATGGCAACTGTAATATACAGAACATCTGTGAAGTATAGATTATACTAGAAACTCACATATATAATTGCGAGAGGGAAAATATTGTGAGAGACCATAAAGAAGTCCTGAATGAGAAAGAATGTGGAATTGGGATCGGTGAGTAGATTTTTTGAATTGTTTATGGCTAGGGAACTAGAGGCTGTCTTTTCTGAAGTACTAATTCTGTAAAGAAGGTATACATTATATATTAGAAGTCAGACACGGATACTCAGGAGTTTGCATGTCTTAGTAAAATTTTTTTGAGGGGAGGTTCTTCCTGGCTCAGATACAATTTTAGAGATCTAGTAGATGACATGTTTAATGAATGCAGAATGCAGTAATAGAACCATTTATCGATCCTATTGAATTGATGTCGTGTTGGACATGCTTTGTTTTCACACTTTTCTTTTATACCTATGGCACATTAACGGCTCCTATTATTAAGTTTTGTTAGGTGCTGAAATTTGCCGAGTTTATTTTCTGAACTTCCACATTTCATGCTTGCTTCTCGTTTGCAAGCCGAGTGTGGAGATGACATCCGAACGTATTTAGCTTCTGAATTTTCTTGCTTTTCAGGATGATGAAAATGCATTGTTACAGCAGGCTCTTGCAATGTCTATGGATGATTCTTCCTCTGCTGTTGCTACGCGGGATACTGAAATGGCAGATCCTGCTACCGATGATCACGATTTGCAGCTTGGTGAGAACTTATGTTGGCTGGCCAAATTTCATTTTTTAACTCATGCATTGTTTCTTTTCTTTTTCATTAAGCTCACTAACAATTTGATCAGGTGAAGTACACTATTCCATATGTTCGTACTCGTGTTCTATCCTATTTAGCCTGCTTGTTATATATTTCTTTATTTCTGTTGCTTTCTCGTGAAGGGAAATGATCACTTACATGAGAAGAGGAATGAGTTATGCCTGGACCTTTTTTTTTTTTTTGGGGCGTGGGGGTTAAAAAATTCTTGTAAAGCTATATTCAGTTGGTTTGGGAAGAGTTTAGAGACTATAATTCTTTCTAGGTTGCTAACCAAATCACAGCATTACTCTTTTAAGTTTCCCGTAAAATCCATGCACAATCTAGTTCCCTCAATCCAACCCACTTCTTGCAAGACCTATGGGTCAACCTCCATCCCCCACTCTACTCCAGCTGCCAAACCCCATCGCCACGAGCCCTAGTTCTTCCTCTTGCCCAGGGTAACTAGTTGGGCCGTCGATGTTGCATTGTGAACATGAGAACATGAGAACCGCAGTTCACTGTTCAATTATGTTTATGATTATTGTTCTTTTTAAGTAACTGGATCCGTCTGACCAGTCTGATTCTTATGATATTGGGCCCATACAATTACTGCAGCATGTCTAAACTAAATTTGATTTTTATTAAAAACTTGATTCAAAATATGCTGTGGTTTTTCGAGTTCCTTTATATGGAATTGACAATTTAATCCCTTGCAATGGTTGAAGGCAATAACATGGATAGAAGATTGGTTCATCATTAGTTAAGTGAATTTATTGCCATTATTTTTTTGTTTTCATAACTGAAGCTAAATGTTCAGATAATTTTATTATTTTATTACAGACTTTTAATGCAGGAGGGTCACTGGAACTTTTGGAATTGAACTTGTCTTTGCATTTTTTATGTCCTTGTGTTTATTAGCGAGCCTGTCATTTTATTTATGGAGGAGCAGTACTTCTTCAGTATTATGATTGATCAAAAGATAGCAATCAATTGTCATACATACCATACAAATTGTAGGTATAAAACCCTTGTTAAACCAAAAAATGGGATATCATTCTTCAACAATGTGGTGAACTTCATATGAATGGCATTGTGCAAAATGTTATAAGTTTGAACTTAAGAATGCAGCTTGTCTCAGGGAGAGAGCTCTGAGTGCGTGCAAAATATTATAAGTTTGTACTTAAGGATGCAGTTTGTCTCGGGGAGAGAGCTCTGAGTGCATGGAGTCCCCTGAGTATTTTTGTATCTTCTCAACTTCTGTTTTTTGTTTGCATTTACTTAATTCTTTTTATTAGTGTCCTTGCCTGGCATAAATTATGGGTCCATAAGTGTTTTCTTTGTGGGTCTTGCATACAAAATATTCTTGTTTTTCGATGCTCCGAGTGTACACTATCTTGTTCTGTTTCCTTTCTGTGTTTGCAATAAATAAATAATCTGACTTTCCCTATAAAATGTTATCTTAATTTATATATTGGTAAGTCTTATTTGGGTTCTTCAGTTCTAAATCATTTTTTGGGTATATCTTATTTGTTGTGGTGCATGTAGCCCTTCAAATGTCCGTGCAGGAGGGTACGAAAGACCAATCAAACCAGACAGATATGAATAAGCTGCTAGCAGACCAGTCTTTTGTGTCCTCTATCCTGGCTTCGGTAAGTCTTCTAGGCTGATTTCGTTATGTATCTTTTGATATTGTCAAATGTATCCACCATCACGTAATGCATAAGCAGGTTAAATAATGAAATGAAATAAAAAAACACAAACTGACCTCTAAATTTCTGTTTCGTGGTTCATTTGTTTTAACAGCTTCCAGGAGTTGATCCAAATGATCCCTCTGTCAAAGATATGCTTGCTTCCATGCAAAGTCAGTCTGAGGTGAGCTGAAAGGTTGATATTTGTTGAAGCAAGATTGATCACAACATAATATTTTATTCAGTGTTGTGAATTTTGTTTTATATACTGCTAAATTTTTTATATGTTCTAGATTGAATTGTTCACTGTCTTTCTTCTACCCACATATTTCTGACCGCACAAATAATAAGTGGCTTTGTATTGCTGTACATGAGATTTTACTTTTCACTTCAATTTGTTAACGTATGATGTACTTATTTTGATCCTCGTAACATTGTTTTGAATGCATTATAAACCTTTCTTTGGCACAATGACCTAGCTGAAAGATTTTATTAAGGCTGCATTCTTCTGACTTAATCTTTACATCTATTGGCATGTTTTATGAGAGGGAAAACACATAAGTTATATGGGACTGATATTTTCACATGAATATATTATTCTAATCATGGGGAATATTCTGTCAATCTGGTAAAATATTTAGCAACAAAAATCTTTTTGCTTGTTCATTAGTCATATGTTTGGACTGTTTCTCTCTTCTATGTGTCTCAATTTGATCATATTTCAGTACTCTAAATTCTTAAATTATTCAAATGATATTTGAGTTGATTGGTCATTGATTTATGAAAAAAATTATGCCAAATAAAAAATGAGAAACTAATAAATGTTTCTTGAAAAAAGCAAAATGAAGAGCCAAAATAGAGAGCATTGTCAGAGTATATGAAAAAATCTTTTTAAATTTAAAGATGCTCTTAAGCTGTATCTTGTTAAACTAACCACTAGTTTTCTTGATCTGTATTTTCTTCATTTAGCCCCAGCAGAATAAGGATGAAGATAAAGCACCGAAAGAAGAGGAAAAGAAGTGATGATGCCTCAGTTAATATCCACTGTCAGGTGTAGTTTCTTGCTTCCCAATTTCGTGATTCGAAGAACGTTATTGGAATTTCTTATATGTTTTGACTTTAAACTTCTTTCTCGCCTTTCACTATCCATAAAAATATTCCTAGTCAGGTTGTTTGGTCACTTTAGTGATAATCGATTAAATTCCATGCAGGTTATGCAGTCCCTTGCTGAGTTTTTCCTGCAGTTTTGAGTTGCAGGATGGGAATAATTGTTGTCAAAGTGGATTGTAACATGAATGATGGAAAATTCTGTTATTTCTGCATGATTTATCTCTTATTACTATATTAGTTGTTCAATTTTCCGTCTTTTCAAATGGATTACAATGGATTGTGCAAATGGTGTATGCTATTGAACTACATCTGAAGGATTACTTATCTTCATCATGTTTTTGTTGCGTGCACAATAACTGTTCCTATGGAGTTTCTCCCTTTCAGCTGAATACTGAAATGTCGCATTATCCCCCTCATTGGCCGTCTTTTGATTCTTGTGGAGCTAAGTTTTGATCATCTCCTAGCTATCTCATATATCAACTCAATTTCAAACCAATTTTAGCTCTAATTGGTGGTGATATGTACCCTATTTTTTAGGGAACTTTTCTATGTAAACTCGGCGGTTTTTGGCTTGAATTGGTAACAATTTCAACCATTTCTTAGCCACCATTAGTTAGTTACACAACCATTCATCGTAATAAAAGAAAGTACAAATTAACGATTATGGAAGAGGTCAACCTGGATTGAATTGGGCTTTGTTCAAGAGTTTTATTCCGTCCGATCCAATCTCAAAAGTAAATACAAAGTATGAAAAGAAGTGAAAATCACACCCATCACTAAATTTTAAATTAATATTCCAACTTTACATTTTCACTTTTTTAATTTCATAATTACTACAATATAGTGAGTAAAAATGATAATCATAAAATATTCACTCCTAATCCTAATAAAATTTAAAAAAAGAAGAAACGACAATCGCTCCACCAAACGTGATTTACTAAACAATACACAACTCCCACCAGTAACACTCCGCCAAAAATTCCCCAACGCTCATCCCCTGCATGACATCAAAGATCAAGAAAACCTCAAGAATCCAGTGCAAAAAATCTTCATTCATCGCAGATCGACTACATCATATCCCATTAAGTGATTTTCTCCATATTTCGTGTATGAAAATCCATTCTATAACTGTAATTTCGAAATTTTTGGTTTTGTTCGTACTTGTGTAAACCCTAATACACAGCGAGATCAACAGCACAAATAAAAAATCTTTTATATCCACACTTTATATCATCATCCAGTTAATTCTTGACACACAATATGGCAACCCGTCATCATTGTTCAAACATGGATTCCAGCAAGAACAAAAAACACTGCTGCTAAAACCCTGTTATGCAGTGGTTATATTAACCATGAAACATGAAATGAGTTATATATCGACATTTAACAAATCATAACTTTCACATGAAGAATCATAACCATTTCCATCAATGATGTTTAAATTTCACATGAAGAAGCATAACCATTTCACATGAAGAATCCTATTAAGTTTCGTTCACACAAAGAATCATAACTTTAACGAATGTCTCTATCTTTTTTATATTTGACGGTTACATATCCACGTTTAAACTTTGTTGCACTTCTTACTTTGCCTTAGTTCACCATTTCCATCAATGATGCAAATTTATGGTTTTATAAGACTGCTGAGACATAGCAATTCTCAAATTTAACAACAAAAATTCTGGATTTACTAGCAAAGAAGAAACTCTATTGTCTCGACTTAAACATAAGCATAAACGTCAAGAAAAATTTTGGACAATTAGTCAACCAAATGGAAAATAACTATTTCAATCCAGATGCAGAGCAATATCTCAAGAGATTATCATCGGTAATCATTGAGGAAGTACTAATCAGGTTGATTTTGTGGGAGAACTTCAAGGATTTAGTAGTGTTGGAGACACCATCAAAACGAAATCAGAAAAAGCTAGCAAAAGAGGTGTGTGTTGGAAAAATAATTAGTTGCAATAACTTGCAGAACCCGGTAAAATGCAAAAATAAAATTTATCGACTGATCGAATCTCGTAACAGCACGATGTCCTAAAGTGAAATTGCCCTTCTATAATTGCTGCGACCTTTGTAGACAATTACTCTTAGGGTACAATGATCAAAATCCATTTGTGCAACAATCACGGATGGTTTCCTAAAACTCTCAAGTGTACTCCAAAAAAATATTTTTTTTAAAATAAAAAATTCGGTAAAAAAATATCAGAGTATGAGAAACTATAATTTCGTTTCTGATGATTTCGCTTTTTTATGTGTATTTTTGGCAAACGAGATATGAGTATATATAGGCAAATTGCCTCCTCCATGATTAAGAAATATATGCAAAAAATTAATGAGTTGTGGATAATGATTTGTTAGTAATTAGTAGTTGAAAACGGTCATATAATACTGTTTAGTGTGACCCATTAAATAATTCTAAAAATAATTAAAATAAAATTAAAAAATAATTATTTTAATCAAGGAAGCCCAAGAGCTCCAAAGCTCCAATAAAATACTTTTATATACGGGAAAAGTTCATAATTCAGGAGTATTCTTTATACCAATTCAAGAATGAGGTAGAATGTTTAAAAATTCAAGAATCATGTATACATTTAATGAATTAAAAATATTTAATTAAAAATAATGATGTCACAGAAATATTATTATAGGTCACATTTTATTTATTGGTTACAAATCGTCAAATTAATTAGTCAAATATTATTTTGAGGTCACAAATCAAAAGTTTTATAGATAACAAATCATCAAATTAATTAGTCACATTATTTCGAGGTCACAAATCAAAAGTTTTATAGGTCACAATTTATTTCTTTGGTCATAGATCTAAAAATTTATAGGTCAAAAATTATTTCGAGATCACATCAACGATTCACAGATTATCAAATTTTTAGGTCACATGGTCGCAAATAATTAAATGGTTGGTCATATACGTCAAATAGTGGTCACAGACCACCACCACCAACACTATCGCATCGCCACTGCCATCACGTGGTCATAGATTACCAAATTTTTAGGCCATGTGGTCACAAATAACTGAGTGGTTGGTTACATATAGTCATAAACCACTACCATCAACACTATTGCACAACCACTGCAATCACGGCTACTTGCAACCACCCTCACTCCATCACCGACGCCAACAAAGATCAGGACCACCGTCGGAAACCATCACAGTAACCTAATTAAGCAAAAATCACCCAAGCCGTTAGATTCACCATCGCCGCCACCAACAACAAAAATTACAACCAACCGTTAGATCTACCAGCGTCACCAAAAATCACAGCCACCATTACATCTAATGAAAACACTGCCACCGCCTCAAATTCCCAGAAAAAAATCTTCAAAAACGTCGGTCGACACCACCACTACCGCCTTAAATCACAACCCATAAACTACATATAACCACAAACTTTGTGTACTCTCGGTCACAAACATCGGAAAAGAGGTTGTTGGGAGTGTAGGTAGTTCGCCATTCACTGTCAGAAGACGGGGAAGCGACGATCTGTGCTACAAACTTTCTGCGGTATTCGTCGCCAGCCTCTGTTGAATAGGAAAATGGGGAAAATGTGCTAGATTTGAGGGATGCGGCGATCTGATGCTGCGAATGGAGTTGGTGCAACGAGGGTGAGAAGAGAGAGAGAGAGAGGGTGGGGCGAGTGAAGGGGTGAGTGAATTAATTGGGTTTGACATACCTAACATGTGCATAAAAAACTTTTCCACCTGATGTTTCCATCCCAATCTTTAAACATCTGGGATGGTGTAATTTCCACTTTATATATTGCGGGAAGTATGACCCAAACTCTCAACGTCCCACACAAGTTCCATACTTTCCACCACTTAAGCACTCCATCTAAATTAGTTATTTTTATTTATTTATTATATTTATTGTATATATATCTTGCAGTGTGATGCCGAACACATAATACCCATGAAATGAAATCTTGCCTTCCAGGTTATATTAACAAAATTACGCATAAATGTTGAATTTGAAATTCTATATTGATCAGAATCTTGAGGGAATATAGATTTCACCAAAATGCAAAAATCTTCCAAAGCTGAAGGTATCTCATTGTAGAAGATTGATTCTTCACATCCTCACATTTGCTGTTACCGCACGACAAAAAGATCGATTTTGAATTGAATTCACAAATTTCAAGCATTTTCAATTAATTTCTCCCCTTCGAATCTTGTTCAATATGTTTTCAGTTGCATATGAATTTAAGGAAAGTTTATGTTGCAGTACTTTTTGATATTTTTACACGATTATGTAGTATTTTCTATATTTAAATTAACATAATAGTAACATATGAAATTCTTTATATATAGTGTGTATATGACTTTTTTCCCAATGTATAATGCTATTTAGTATTACTAGTAAAAAAAAGCTGGAGGTATTCATTTCACAGGCCCCTATCAATGTGAGTGAAGGTGGGGACGGGTCCCACCCTTTTTTTTAATTGCTGTGGGGCCGACCCAACTACAGTGAGGGGTCTGTGCACCCCTTGTGAACTGAGCTCCTGTACGTGGAGCTCGGTTCTTACTAGTGATACAGTTTAAAAAATATGGACTCATTTAATTGGACTTGGAGTCCTATTGGTATGACTTTTGCTTTTTATTTTCTATAGAAAAGCTTCTAGAGAAAATTATCTTATTTTTTGTTTGGAAATTAATTTTTAAAAGTACTTCCAAATCCAGAAGTACTTTTAGAGAAAGTTACATTGGATCATCTCCCTCTAAAAAGCTCTTCTGATTATCAAAAGCACTTTAATAAAATTAACAAAATGGATCTAAAAACAACTTTTTGGATCTCAAAATTCATTTTCACTCTTTAAAAGTCATATCAAATGGGCCCTTGTAGTGTACTGCTAACTACACAATGCTAAGTAGCATTACGGAAAAGTAGAAACGAATTTCATTAAGCAAACAGCTCCAACATTTCACATGAAGTTTACACAATCTTGCTCAGTCAGTCTGTCATCTCTTCAAATGATTCAGCCATGAGAGAATCACTTGGGCACCTTTTTCCCATGAGCAATCCAACATAATATCATGGGCAACTCCTTCAATACATATAGGTGACACTCCATAAAACGTACCTGTTTCTTCTAGTCCCTTGCCATCCTACAAAATTCACAGTTAAATTTGATATCCTTCAACAATAGTTAGGCACTTGATCTACGTTCATGGTAGAGACGAGAAGATTTCAGAGAATATGACAGTACCAATTACTCAATTGCAACCTCAAATTATTTGCAAAACATTTTTACCAAATAAGATTAATGAAATTGCAGTGTCTCCCCAGAAACGCTCTCTATAGATACTCAAGCTCGGGA